GTATGACATCACTTCAACAATACAATGACGTCACATCAACAACCCTTCAACGTCGCTTCAACCCTGATTTTAGCATGTAACATGATCATTACATTGTGAGTATGATACACAATGGGAGAACAGGGTAAGAGAAAAAGAATCATTCACCCCCTTGTTGGTGAGATAGGGGAATCTCAACCCTCGGGGAAAGATACTTAATTTACCAAGCACTCAGCAAAGCCTTGTGTTTAGCAATTTAAGAGATTCTATTAATCTCACACCAGGAAAAGTGTGGATACACCTGTCCAGGGTAAGAGATTACAGATTGACTAACCAGGGCTGGTCCAATGATACCAGGCAGGTACTCGGATTCTGGCTCCTTGTGCAGAGAGTTGGTTGGGGGGGACTTGTCTGGTACTTAGTTTGGCCCATGCAATTCTTTTATCTTCTTTATATCAAATATTCCTCAAATGTGAATTGACCTCTTTTTCTGTAGAAATAATGCAAACTAGCAATAGTCAGTTTCAGTAAGGCATGTCCAACCCCTCATGATGCCTGTGCCAAATAGTCCGAAGGTTAGCCTCACTTCAGATCATCCAGATTCTGGTGGTTGAACCAGATACATAAAAGCAGCCTGAATGACATCAAGTATTGGTGCTAATTATTGAAAAAACATGGTACATATAAATAATAAATATCATGATAAAATAATAATTTTATGGAGAGGTTTTGATATGCTTTTCTATGTTGCCAGTTGTGGATGATGAAAGGACAAATCGCTGAGCAACAGGGCAAGTCTTCGGAGGCGAGAGAAGCGTATAGTCATGGAGTGAGTTATTTCCCTTTATTGTCAAAATAGAAATTAAAAAAAATTAAAATTACAAGAACATGCTCTGGAATTTGTTGATTAATAGAATTTTCCCCTGCTTTGAGTGTTGACAGAAATTTCCAACCAGAGGGATATTTTATTTGGTTGTCTGTTGAGGGTTAGATAGTCAAATAATCACCCCGAGGGTTGAAGATTTCTTTGTTACACCATTCAAGTAGGTTATTGTTATTTGAGTCACTACATCACTGACAGTAAGTATTCTGGCATTTTCTAAAATCTAAATTAATTTTGGTGTATAAATATCACTTTTTGTGATGTAACATTTTGCATAGTCTAGTGGTAGGACATCAGGCTTGTGACTGAAGGGTCGCAGGTTCGAGTCCAATCACGGCACTGTGTTGATTGTTCCAGTTAACTTAGCTTTACATGAGTATGTGTTTGGGCTGTGCTGGAATTGTTGAATATTAGCTGTGTGTGCCGAAATGGCAGCACCGGCTGTATACTCCCTAGGGAGTTGAGAAAGATATTGGCTGGTTGCAAAGGCCCAATAACAACAGGTAATAATTTGTGAACTGCTTGGACATGACCAAGGTTGTGATAAAGCGATAGATAAGAACCTCAAATTAGTATTATTATTGATATATACATAATTTCCCAACGGAATATAGATCGTAAAAATCATTACATATTAAGTCATTCCTCATTTAGAATGTAATGAGTTGTCATGATAAAATCTACAACTAAGACTTGGTTTTCATTATTTGCCAAGTAAGCCAGTTGGCATGTAGACATACGGGAGAAAAACCCCAGTTATCGTGCAGTAATACTGTAACACAAATTAGCTACAAGGTACTGTGAGGATGTCTGTTTTAAGGCATGTGTAGGACTTACACCCATCACAGTTACTTATTACAGGAAAAATCATTTAAATTAATTTCCTAGAAATGTAACGGCTAAGGAATTGGAGGGGAAAATACTGCCTTATTGGCAAGCGAGCTTTTCCAGTGATGCGGTATAACCCGGGGACCCGCTCACTAGTACAGCAATGTCGAGTGTGGTCATAAGTTGGATGGGTGACCGCCTGCACGTTACAGAAATATAATGACTTAATGAATAGATTTACTGTATTGAAATAACACATGAAGTAAGTTTATTTATAACTAAATTTCATTCTACATTGGTGTTACATTTTGCTCTATTAATGGCAAAGAAATTGCATGGGATATATAACTGTAGCTAGATCTTGCCACGCATCAAAAAAATGAAAAATGATGTTATTTGTTCTCAGCTGAAGAAATGTCCGAGGTCAATCCCTCTGTGGCTGTTACAGTCGAGACTAGAGGAGAAGTCAGGCCAGCTAATCAAGGCACGGTCTATACTTGAAAAGGCCAGACTGAAAAACCCACAGCAGGCAGAGTTATGGTAGGTACTGTTCTATGGTACTTCAAGTTTACTATATAAGTTGTTCAATAAAGTTTGGGATTGAAAGTTCAAATATTGACAATGCTTTGTCTCCATTCTTCATATTGTGTTCCACACGGTAAATGTTTGCCCTCAGTTTAAAAATCATACTGATACATGACTAATATTACTAGAGGCTATTGTAAGATTATCCTGTCCAAAAGACAAAGTCATTGTGACTTGATTCTTTAAAATGCAATCAGGACCTGAATGCTAAAAAATAATGAAACAGGACCACAAGGGTTAGTGACAAAAAAAGCTCATGTTTTTACTGAACCTAGCTACACGCCATGTCTTGTAGTGCCTACCCTTAATATGTATGTACTTTTCAGCAAGCTCTGTTAAAGTCTGAAAGGTTGTCTCTTTAAGTTCTCAATTTTAATGAGTAATACAGTACAAATAATTTTCCTTCTCCTTAAATTTTCATATTTTTCATACAATTATCATTTAGGTACAATAATGCATCAGAAGGTTTCTAAGTATGTCAGATAACCATGGAATGGGCATATATGATATCATATGAATTTCAAGGTTTCTGGAAAGGGAATACGACCAGCTTGTCTTCCTTGTTTTCTAGAAAGAATAGCTAAAAAATATGTTGTATGTTCATTATCTATAGGCTGGAGGCTGCGCGTGTTGAAAACAGGGGTGGCTTGAGGAATATAGCACAGACACTGATGGCCAGAGGTATGTAATGGAGTAAACAAAACAACAAAACTTCAATATTAAGGGAGAAATATTTCTTAAAACATTGACAAGTTTTTAGTACAGCAGTGTTATCAGGGGCCCACAAAGGGATATTGTATAAATGTTGAGTACAGCAGTGTTATCAGGGGCCCACAAAGGGATATTATACTGTATAAATGTTAAGTACAGCAGTGTTATCAGGGACCCACAAAGGGATATTGTATAAATGTTAAGTACAGCAGTGTTATCAGGGGCCCACAAAGGGATATTGTATAAATGTTAAGTACAGCAGCGTTATCTAAAATTTGTATAATTCAAACCGGTGTGTTCAAGTGTGGAAAAATCTTTTCTGACTAAATTGAATTATGTAAGTTAGAAAGTAAGTTTCATGGCCATGGTATATGAATACAAGAGAGTAGAGTCAAACCTGCTCAAGTGACCATATACATTAACAGACCACATACATTAACACACTACATACATTAACACACCATATACATTAACAGACCACATACATTAACACACATTAACAGACCACATACATGTACATTAACACACATTAACAGACTACATACATTAACAGACATTAACAGACTACATACATTAACACACATTAACAGACTACATACATTAACACACATTAACACACTACATACATTAACAGACATTAACAGACCACATACTTTAACAGACATTAACAGACTACATACATTAACACACATTAACAGACTACATACATTAATAGACATTAACAGACTACATACATTAACAGACATTAACAGACTACATACATTAACATACATTGACAGACTACATACATTAACACACATTAACACACTACATACATTAACATACAGCAACAGACTACATACATTAACATACATTAACACACTACATACATTAACAGACTACATACACTAACACACATTAACACACCACATACATTAACAGACATTAACAGACCACATACTTTAACAGACATTAACAGACTACATACATTAACATACATTGACAGACTACATACATTAACACACATTAACACACTACATACATGAACAGACTACATACATTAACACACATTAACACACCACATACATTAACAGACATTAACAGACGACATACATTAACAGACAATAACAGACCACATACATTAACAGACATTAAGAGACTACATACATTAACAGACCACATACATTAACACACATTAACACACCACATACATTAACAGACATTAACAGACGACATACATTAACACACTACATACATTAACAGACTACATACACTAACACACATTAACACACCACATACATTAACAGACATTAACAGACGACATACATTAACACACATTAACAGACTACATACATTAACAGACATTAACAGACTAAATACATTAACGTACATTAACGTACATTAACAGACTACATACATTAACATACATTGACAGACTACATACATTAACACACATTAACACACTACATACATTAACAGACATTAACAGACCACACACATTAACAGACATTAACAGACTACATACATTAACATACATTGACAGACTACATACATTAACACACATTAACACACTACATACATTAACAGACTACATACACTAACACACATTAACACACCACATACATTAAGAGACCACATACATTAACAGACATTAACAGACGACATACATTAACACACTACATACATTAACAGACATTAACAGACTACAGACATTGACAGACATTAACAGACCACATACATTAACACACATTAACACACTACATACATTAACAGACATTAACAGACCACATACTTTAACAGACATTAACAGACTACATACATTAACGTACATTAACGGACATTAACAGACTACATACATTAACATACATTAACAGACCACATTCATTAACAGACATTAACAGACTACATACATTAACATACATTGACAGACTACATACATTAACACACATTAACAGACCACATACATTAACAGACATTAAAAGACTACATACATTAACAGACCACATACATTAACACACATTAACACACTACATACATTAACAGACTACATACATTAACACACATTAACACACCACATACATTAACAGACATTAACAGACTACATACATTAACGTACATTAACGTACATTAACAGACCACATGCATTAACAGACATTAACAGACTACATACATTAACACATTAACAGACCACATACATTAACAGACCACATACCTTAACACACCACATACATAAACAGACCACATACATTAACAGACCACATACATTAACACACCACATACATTAACAGACCACCTGCATTAATTAAGAGACCATTGTTTGGACTTTGCATGTTTGGCCACTTAATACTGGTTTGCCTAAAGTCAATTTCAAGTGTGGGGGAAATTTGGTGTTAACTCATTCACCCCTGAATTTGTATCATTAACTACGTATTCCAACCATTGAATTGGAAGAGTTGAAATGTGTCTTCAGGGGTGAATGAGTTAAAATGCAAACTGAATAATAACTTTTAATCACAAAAATGTATAAGTTGCCTGTTTGTTGTTGATAGAGTATCATTTTCTACTTTTCTTTCATTACAAAGCTGTCCAGGACTGTCCCAATGCTGGTATTCTGTGGGCAGAGTCAATATTTATGGAACCCCGCCCCCAGAGGAAGACCAAATCTGTTGACGCTCTAAAGCGATGTGAACATGACCCCCATGTACTTCTTGCTGCTGCCAAGTAAGGAGAATTATTTTTTGATGTGAAATTCTGTTTCTGTAAATCTTGATTTCTTGTGTTATTGAATTACCATCACTTCAAGTTAAATTTACTGTGTAACAGTTATATATTTAAAAGGCACGGTAGTCTAGTGGAAGGACGCCGGGCTCATGACCTAAGGGTTGTGGGTTAGAGTCACAGAACGGCACTGTGTTGTATCTTTGAGCAAGATACTTTACTCCGCTTGTTCCAGTCTACTCAGCTGTAATTGAGTACATGGTTGGGCAGTGCTAGAATTGTTGAATGCTAGCTGTTAGTGCCGAAATGGCAGCTCTGGCTGTATGCTCCCCAGGGAGTTGAGAAAGATATTGGCTGGTTGCAAAGGCCCTATAACCACGGATAATAGATTGTGAACCACTTTGAAACGACTTAAGAACAAGGTTGTGATAAAGCAGTAAATAAAAACCTCAAATTATTATTTTTAATCATATTTACTATGTAACAGATATATATACTGTGTAACAGTATTATTTAGTGTGTAACAGTTATGTTTACTAATTAGCAGTTATATTTACTGTTTAACAGTTATATTTACTGTGTAACAGTTATAATTACTGGGTAACAGAACAGTTATATTTACTGTGTAACAGAACAGTTATATTTACTGCGTAACAGTTATTATATTTACTGTGTAACAGTTATTATATTTACTGTGTAACAGTTATAATTACTGTGTAACAGAACAGTTATATTTACTGTGTAACAGAACAGTTATATTTACTGTGTAACAATTATATTTAGTGTGTTATTTATAGAGTTATATCCTACTGTATCGTGGTTATATTTATTGAGTAATGATTCTATATAACACTTGTCAAGACATGATGTTGGCAACCTAAGAATTTTCCAACTGGGGTTGTGATTCCATCATGTTGACTCCAAGGGGATGAACATTCTATTTATCTCATGAAACATTTGTTTATGGTATATATTGGAGTAAAGGGCTGTGTAGGTTGCTTTGTTACTGGTTATTTATAGTAGTACCATCTTGAGTTTCCAATTTCTTTGATTAGAGTGCTAGTTATTTTTTAAACTTCTCTCTCTACTTCTTGGTGAAAATGAAGACAACATTCCAACTTTTGAGTAAAATTCTGGAACCGTTTTGATAGTGCAGTCCATGTTTCTGTTTCAGGTTCATATTTTGGGCAGAGAGGAAAGTAAACAAGGCCAGGGAATGGTTTAACCGTACAGTTCGTATCGACCCTGACCTTGGGGATGCCTGGGCGTACTTCTACAAGTTTGAAATACAGCACGGAAATGAGGTAACTGTGATGGATCATGCATTCTAAATAAAAACAAATTTTTGCTTTTCTATTTTTTATTTTTTTTCTCATTTTCTGAAAAATAACCATTAACCTTTACCAATATTTACTGAACGTTTTGGTGAAGTCATGAAACTGGACTATTTTCATAGTTCAAATGGTGCATTAATATCTGTTGAGATATCTTTTCATGAGTTCTTGAACTTCTGTGTGGATACTATACTATTTCCGGTTTAAGACGTCACTAGTGGCACAAGTGAATGTTCCTTTTGTAACGAAAATACGTTCCCAAATGCTGGGAAATTGGGAAATCCGTTCTCAAGTTGTTCTCAAGTCGTGTTCATCTTCTCATACTGACAACCCATGATAATGAATTGATTATGCTACTTGTATGTGGTATAAAGTGGTATATAGAAGATAAAACAACTTACCAAGTGGATTTAAACCACTTACCAGCGTTATTTAGACACAAAAACATATCTATTGTATCCCAGTTGTTTAACATGTTGTTATTTTAATGAACTTTCTGAGGAAGCGTTGCTAGGCATGTCACATGGTTACATACGGTATGTGAATTAACCCCGTTTTTGATAAGTAGGCTACCTTGGCTTGTTACAGGTATGAAACAGTCAGAAATAACACACTAAGCCCCCGGGTAACATACAGTAGATAAGATAATCTGATTTCTGGTCATAAGTTCCCCTGGGCTAAACTTTTCATAACATCAGGAAACACAGAAATAGAATACATATATTCAAATAAACACTGTTTCTTCTTCGTAAACAGGAATCACAGAACAATGTACTGACCCGCTGTGTGAGTGCCGACCCCCGTCATGGTGAAAACTGGTGCCATGTTTCAAAGGACATTAAGAACTGGCGGCTTCGCACGGAACAGATTCTTCCCCTCACTGCAGAACTGGCAGCACTGCCGACATGACAACAGCAGCACACACAGACACAACTGGTATTACTGGGTACTCTAATGGATCCAAGGAAGATAGCAAATAAAGCATTACTTGCACTGTTGTCACTGATTCGAGTGGGATCTAATATATGACTGACCTGAGCACTTGTATTGTTTGCAACTAATCCAAGGGTGATCCAATATGTTGCAGACTTGAACATAACTTAAGAATTACTGTAACAGATTTGAGGCAGTTATGTAGCACACTAGTATGTTCATCGCTGTAATGGACCAAAGAGGGTTATGTACAGTAGTAGCATATCTTGAACTGCTGTAACTGGTCTGAGTATTGATCTGACATGTAACGAACTCAAGCTGAACTTGTAGACAGTAGTAGACAGTAGAATGGGAGGAGTTTCAAATGAGCTGTTTTTGCAACGAACAATCTGGTTGGTAAAATTAATTGAAAGTATATGTAGCTACTTATTTTTATCAGCCAATCAGATTGCTTGTCGCAAAACTGCATGTTTTTTGAAGTGTTACACATTGTCAATATAGTAGGGTAAGCCTGTTTCTAATACAGGCCAGATACAGGTGCTGATGTTTAGACTTGAGAATGTTGAATAAGGCAAATGCCAATTATAATCAAAGCATACAATAAAATTGATTTTATTTGCACACAAATTTAATTTTTGTAAGTGCTTTTTTAAGCTGAAAATCCTATAGAAAACTTCTCTACTCCTGCACATCAATTTTCCTCTCAAAACTTTCTGCTTTAATCATCACATCAACCTGCACACTTTTCTTTCATTAGACGACACTTCTGACAAAGTGTACCTTAGTGCTATTCATTGATTAAAAGGAAGATTTAGAAAAAGTGTCAGATTGTACATGTCTTACTGGTGAAACTTCCAGATCCTATTTGAACATTGCAGAAGTGGGGATTTTTTCACATGAAAATGTTCATGTCATGACTCTTTGAACTGACTGCATTGTGGAAATTCTCTAGGGCGGTGGTTCTGAAATCTCATGCTGACCCCCTTTTAATTATACGCCCATCAAATATGACGGGAGTATTATGGTATGGCGTCGTCTGTCCATCCGGCGTAAACTTTTGTTTGTCCGGCAATCTCCTCCTACATTTTTGACCAATCTCTTTTAAACTTGGTATACATTATAATCATGATATGAAGTTTTGTCTCCCTTAAATGAATTTTGATTCGACAATTTTTGCAAAAGTTATTGCCCCTTGTTTATTTCAGTATTTTATTTTTGTCCGGCAATCTCCTCCTATATTTTTCAACGGATCTCTATGAAACTTGGTATACATTATAATCATGATATGATGTGTCTATCTTAAAAGAAATGTGATTCAACGATTTTTGCAAAAGTTTTTGCCTTTTGTTCATTTCAGTATTTGATTTTTTGTTCGGAGATTTTCTCCTACATTTTTTATAGCCTGTCATGCCAGCTAACCACTCTCGGAATGATGCAGATCTTATTTCAATGTAAGAAAGTATATAACACTATATGGCATTCGACAGGCGTATATTGTTCCGCCCCGCGGTACTCTTGTTGAAATTTTCACGGTGGAGATTCTGCATTCTCAAAATGAAAACAAATAGAATATGTCTATTTACCCCTTAGAGACAAAATAAATATGCTTTAAAATGACAAATTTTGAGTTATACTTTCAGGTGAAATCATTAGATCTTGGAATATAGGAATAGTTGAGCAAATTCACTGGTTGAGAATACATATATGCTATATTTGAGGGTCCAAAATCAGGAATCTTCCTCCTAAAGAGGGAGATTTTAGCAAGTATGAAATACATATATCTGTAATTTATATATGTATGTGGACATTTTTGTTGCAATTAAATATAACATGAGGTGAACTGTGAACATTGTCATACTGAAGTTTCCCCTTTTACAGTAAGAAGTGGAGTAATCCATGCTATAGATTGAGCAGATATCGGAGAAGAGCTGTTACTTTTGTTCTCATACATGTGTATATTTGCTGATAATTGATCTTTAAAGAGCAGCAAGGAAAACAAATATATAATAAAAAAATAATTGTAGATTTCGTCTTTTGTTATTTCCACTTAAAAGGCATTAGACATGAATGGTTTATTGGGGCAAAACTTTCATTAAACTCTATGTGAATGTTTGGAATAAGATTCATCAGTTTGGTAAGAATAATAAATCTAACTCTGTTTTGAATTCAAACAGGAATTGAAAACTCAATTTGCGAGCTTTCGAAAACGTCTGTTTCCTTTGTCAAGTAAAGAGTGTAAATGACCGTTGTCTCGACTCTAAACCGCTGAAAACAACTCTTTAAGCCACAGTGTGCCAAATCAGTAAAGTCAGCGGTCATAAAACAGAGACGTTTTTGCCAAATTACACTCTTATAATGCAGGCAGTCAGGGGGGTGGGTAACATGTTTACCGATTCCGCCCCTTAGTGTGGCCACCAAAAAAATTGCAACTGAGTCATCTTTATGACCCCATTTTAACTTCCACTAATGGGCATAATGGGTAAACATGTTACCCGTCCCCCTGATTTTTGACAGCTGACTTTACGGTTTCATCAAATTGCTGATATACAAAAAAAGAACCCACTCAAACAGACCAACACACCATCCATTGTCTCAGACTAGGGAGTGGTTCAGACTCTCCTGGACAGATGCACAAACATCGAAACTGAACAGAATGACATGGAAATTGGAAAGCGACATATCAAACAGCCCCCGACATCATATGCATACCCCAAATGGTCGATAAGGAAAGTAAAAACAGTAATAAAAGGAATGCAACTGGCTCTAAGAAACAAAAACGTAGAAACATAGAAAGAAAACTTAACGGCATGGTCAATATCCCATACATAAAAGGGGTGTCTGAAGCACTTGGTAGAGTGTTGCGCAAACGTCACATCAGCACACCCGCTCGACTAAACAACACCATCAAGCAGCTATTAGTTCATCTGAAAGACAAATTGCTGAAGGAAAAAAAACCAGGTGGTTGACCAAATTCCATGTAACAGCTGCAACCTTCATGGCAAAAATCGGGGAAACTGGCCAGAAATTTAGGACACGCCTAAAAGAACATCAGAAGGTCGTTGAAGCCATGAAACAGCAAGTCAACACTAGAAATACAAGGAAGACATGGAGAAACAATACAATAAATCAGCAATTACAGACATGCTAACACACAACCACATCATAGACTGGAATAAATCAAAACAAATAGTTTTATCACATAATGTACTGTGTTATCCAGTGAATATACCCATGTCAATTCTTTTTGTGTATTAACCCATGTAATATGACCTATCAGCCCTGTGATTGGTTATAAGTTTCAATTGTTTCAATTGTGACGTCACACCTAGGACTAGTACATGACGTCACAGACTTACGCATTGGAGTCAAAATGGCGGCTTTTCACATTTAAAAGTTGCATGAAAATTATCGTTTTACTTGAATAAATGCCACATATCGTGATTATGTGATAAAAAGGATCTTACACTTGTTTTCATTTCATATAAAATTTATGAAACTCGTCACAAATTTTTCATTTTAGCTCGCCAGACGCTCACTAATGTGAAAAATTCTTAGACTTGTTTCATAAATCTCATATGAAATGGAAACTTTTGTACGATCCTTTATATATTAGGGCGAACAGGATTAAGGGCAAAACAATGTAATGCAGGTCATGCCAACCCATATCTCTATCTGATCATTTCTACATTGCTATTTTACACATTTAAGCAATAGGTCCATATGAAATGAATTTTGGTATCTTATGTTGAAAGTATCTTAATGAAACTGCAGTTTTACACAAAACATTCTAAAATGACACCTCTACACCACCAATCTGATCCGCCCATCATATTCTTCACAATAACCATATCATATCTACGAGTATACTTTAGGATTGACCTTCATTTTAGCGGCGTATACTGCAGTTGGCAACGAACATGCGTAAGCGCTACATATAGAATATGTTCGTTGCTTACTGCGCTCATACTACCGTATACGCCGAGTTTACTAAGCTGAAGAAGGGAGGCATTTAAATATATTGATATTACATTAGTCAATCTTTAAATATATTTATCACATAACTGACCCATTTTACTATGTCATACGGCCATGTTATCAATATGGTATTACATACATGTAATAAAACCTAAAGGTGCTGCAATTGGTCAAAACTATGGAAACATTCCTACGCCACTATTAGCACTACTTTTATTTATTACACCACATGATACATTTACTGCTTAAAATATTTTTAATGAATTTTAAATAGTTATTTTGTCAGTATTATTATAATTGCATTTCAGATTGTTCAATATTAAAGAATAAATCCAGAACTGCCTTGCACTGCGCGTCCGTCTGGCGTCAACATTTTACTTTAAATAACTTCTTCTGAATAACCAAGAGGCATAGGGTGATAGTGTTTGGCCTTTAGCATAATGAAGGACTTCCAAGTTTGCTCAAATGAATGACCTTCGCCCATTTTTAAGGTCACAGGGGTCAAATTTATGTTAAAATCTTTTAACAACTTCTTCGGAATAACCAGAAGGCCCAGGATGATGATATTTGGCCTAACAGGGGTCAAATTTATGTTAAATTCTTTCAAACAACTTCTGATTAAATAAAAGGCCCAGGGTGAGGATATATGGCCGGAAACATGCTGAGATAAAGGGCTTCCAAGTTTGTTTAAATTAAATACCTTCGCCAATATTCAAGGTCACAGGGGTCAAATATGTTGTAAAGTTTAAACAAGTTCTTCTGAATAACCAAAATGTCCAAGGTGATGATGTTTTGCCAGTAGCATGCCGGGAAGAAGGGCTATGAAGTTTGTTCAAATGAATGACCTTTGCCCATATTCAAGATCACAGGGGTCATTTAGATATTTAAATGACTTCTCCTGAATAACCAAAACGTCCAGGGTGATTGTTTGTTCATGTGAATGACCTTGACACACTTTCAAGGTCACATCCGGTCAATTGTGCATAAGTCTTTAAAAGTCATCTTCTCAATAAACAAAAGGAATAGGGTGATGATATTTGGGAATTTTCATTCTGGGATGAAGGGCTATGAAGTTTGTTCATCTTAATGTCCATGGTTGACTTTCAATGTCACAGGGTCAAATACACTTATACGTATAAATCATTTAACAGGTTCTTTTGAATGACTTTGAGTCAAGACACTGATATTTTGCCTGTAGCTTTATTTAAGTTCACTTTTTAGGTAACAATTGGGAGAATAATACCAGGTGAGCGATGCAGAACCATTGGGCCTCTTGTAACAGATATTTTTTTAATTATGAATGTTATTTGGTAAATAAAATCTTACGTTTGTGCCATGTCATATTGAATTGATTAAGTGTTTTTGAAAGAATTTACTGTTGGTGTCGAGATTACTTGTTCTGGGAGATTGTTCCATATTTTGACTACGCGCAGACCAAAAACGTTTTTAGCTCACCTGGTCCGAAGGACCATGGTGAGCTTATGCCATACAGTAGCGTCCGTCGTCCGTTGTCCGTTGTCCGTTGTCCGTCTGTTGTCTGTCCGTCAACTTTTCCTTTAAAACGCTACTTGTCCTGAACGGCCAAGCAGATTTTGACTAAATTTGGTCTGGAGCATCCTTAGGCCAAGGGGACTCAATTTTGTATAAACGGTGGGTGTGGCCCCCCTGGGGGCAGAGGGGCGGAGCCCAATAGGGGAAAAAGAGGTAAAACCTTTAAAATCCTTCTTCTACCGTAGTGATTAAGGGATTTTATACTAATTTAGTCTGGGGCATCCTTGGGCCAAGGGGACTTGATTTTGTATAACCCGTGGGTGTGGCCCGCCAGGGGCCTGAGGGGCGGGGCTCAATAGGGGAAACATAGCAAATTCTTTAAAATCCTTCTTCTGTAGGAATGAAAGGATTTTTTCTATATTTGGTCTGAAGCATCCTTGGGTGAAGGGAACCCAATTTTGTATAAACCGTGGGTGTGGCCCGCCAGGGACCTGAGGGGCGTGGCTCAATAGGGGAAACATAGCAAATTATTCTTTAAAATCCTTCTTCTTCTGTAGGAATGAAAGGATTTGTTCCATATTTGGTGTGAAGCATCCTTGGGCCAAGGGGAAATAATTTTGTATAAACAGTGGGTGTGGCCTCCCTGGGGGCAGAGGGGCGGAGCCCAATACGGGAAATAGAGGTAAAACCTTTAAAATCCTTCTTCTACCGTAGTGATTAAGGGTTTTTATCTTAATTTAGTCTGGGGCATCCTTGGGCCAAGGGGACTTGATTTTGTATAAACCGTGGGTGTGGCCCGCCAGGGGCCTGAGGGGCGTGGCTCAATAGGGGAAACATAGCAAATTATTCTTTAAAATCCTTCTTCTTCTGCAGGAATGAAAGGATTTTTTTCCATATTTTGTCAGAACCATCCTTGGGGAAAGGGGAACAAATTTTGTATAAATGGTGGGTCTGGTCCCCCTTGGGGCTGAGGGGCAGGGCCCAATAGGGGAAATATAGCAAATTCTTTAAAATCCTTCTTCTGTAGGAATGAAAGTTTTTTTTT